TGAAGTTTTGGAGAACTGCTGAAGTGGGTTGAGTTTCTTGTTAGTTGTATCCCAGGACAACAAAGTAGTTATGCTTCAGGCCTGCTGAGCTTCATTTTCTGACTCACGCTATTGGGACTGCCTTTAAGAGTGGCAGACTGTAATCTTGAGGACCGGGTTTCATTCCCCACCCCTCCACATCTCACAGCAGCTGGGTGACCTTGGGTCAATCACAGTTCTCTCAGAGCTGTTCTTTGAACAGCAGCTCTCTCAGAGCTCTCTCAGCCCCTCCTCTTTCACAGGGTGTCTGTTGTAGGGAGAGGAAGAGAAGGAGATTATTAGCCGCTCTGAGACTCCAAGTGAAGGGCAGGGTATAAATCCAATTCTTTTTCCATGGGTCAGAACCGATTCTCTGTTGCTCTTGGTGCCAAATGCTCTTGCTAGCACCTACTTCTCAAGACTATTAGCCCAAATCAGGGGTCCCCCATAGGTAGCCCCAATTAATATACATGGAGGCGATCAATTCTGGAAGAAATTATTAACTTTATTTGCAAATAAAGGAGGAAAAGAAGTCAAGCTTTTTTCCTAGCGTATCCAAGGAAGGTTGTGGCTTATATCCCTGTGTTCACATATAAAAATAGCTAATTCGCATAGGAAGGGAATTATACATTCAGTTAGTACCTAAACAAAGATCGCGTCTTGTCCTGGACACATCCATCCCTCATCTTAGCTCATTACAGACTGTCTATGCATTAAAACTGGCATGTCCATGCCGCGCAGTCATCGCGCAGTGTGCGTCACAGGGTCAGCTTTCAGCCAAAGATCCAAATTGCACCCTGCTAAGATTCCACTGCAGTAAACCACACTCACACAGTTCTTGTGGTTAACTATATACAGTGATTTATTTCCATATATACCGCTCTCTGGGTCAAAGTGCTCCGCTATACGTTCATACAGATAGAAGGGATATAATGTACAGCCTACATACACTTATATACACTGACCAGCCAATCAGCTTACTGCTGAGCCACTGTGAGATATCTCAGCTTAGCTCCAGTCAGAACCTGTTTGTGCTGGTTCTCCAGACTGTCAGACACCTGTCAATTAGATTGGCATGATCAAGGGAGTTTCCGGTGGCTGTGAGATTGCGCAGTCAGACCGAGAGAGCCTCCACGTCCTAGCTCCAAAGAATGCAAAATAAAGACTAATTGAGGACCATAAAGATAAAAACAACTTGCTGATAAGAATGGGGAAGAAAAGAGGAGGAAAAGGAGGGAAAGCGGCAAAGAAAAATAACGAGGGAGCTCAACAAACTGAGCAAACTATGCAACCATCGGATGATGACTCCCCCCCCCCCCCCATTCCCCCCCCCCCCCCCATTTGAACTCGACTCCGAAGAAGAGGCACCTAGCCGGCAGAGTAAAAGGAAACGTGAGGATTCAATTACCAAAAAAGATATACAGACTATGCTGGTAGAAATGAAAAAGATTGGCATGATCACACATACTGAAGACTTATGACATTTAACAGTCCATATCTATCATGTTTATTTTTAAATTCTTATGTCTCTTTTGGTAGGTATCTTTACAGGTGCACTCATATCAATATGCATAACTTCAGACCGGCTAGCAATAAAGGTAATGGCTTTAATGAATCAGTTATTAAGCCTGCCTTCTTGCCTTGAACTGACTAGGAACACAAAGCTTCCCAATATAGTCCTTTGATTATATTGATCCTTATATGGGGCCCTATACGTCTTAGTAAACCCTTATTATACTACATTTCTATACCTAAACTGAGACCCATCAAGGCCGACCCAGTGATCCAGCTGTCTTGGTTCCACCACCTTGCTGTAGTCTTCCAGCACTGACACCTGGTCTTTTTCAGCACAGGAGCTGTTTCAGGAAGAGGCAAGGCTAGCTATTGCCATCTCCATGAAGAACTCAAAATCAATCAGCAAGCACCCTTTTTGGAGGCCAGTCTGAGCTGTTTTGCCTCTTCTCTCAGTTCCACGGTAGCCTTCGGAACCATCAGTGATTGTTTGAAGCTTCTGTTTTCCAGTATCAAAGATAAGCCTGAGCCTTTTTTTCAACTGGCTTTAGATTGTCTCTGGAGTCATTCAATGTCACCCACCCTCAGGATTCCCTTAATCTTTTTCCTTGCTGAACAGCCCCCTTTCTTTCTTCTCCCTCCCTACCAATGAAAGCATGCCACAAATCACAGGTAAGGCGGGGAGCAGTCCAAATTACCTCCACCTTAAGGCTTTTGCTTCTAGAATATGCAAGATTGCTACAGCAGACATTGACTCCAGATTTTGATGCAATGATAGAGAGCAAGAGGTGTCAGTTATCAAAGACCATTAAATAAAGGAAATACTCTTAAAGTTTTAAGAATGTTTATATTTTGAATTTAAAACAATATTGTTAATTGGGTTTCCTGAATACTTTCCAAAGTTTATATCTCTGGTATCTGGTAAGTATTACATTTTATGGCACACATGGCCCGGACCAACAAAATGACATTTATGTCAGATCCAACCCTCCTAAGAAAGGAGCTTGACAACTCATAGCTAAGCAGTTATATTATGTGGGTTCTTTGGTGCTCTTGAAGCAAGCCACTCTGACTGAATTTCCTCCCACTCTGAGCACTCAAAAGGCCTCTCCCTTGCGTGGGTTCTGACATGATTTCGAAGATTCCTACTGTGACTGAATCTCTTCCCACATTCTGAACATTCAAAAGGCTTATCTCCTGTGTGGGTTCTTAGATGATTTTGAAGATGGCCGCTGCGACGGAATCTCTTCCTACACTCTGAACATTCAAAAGGCTTATCCTCTGTGTGGGTTCTTAGATGATTTTTAAGAGTACTCCTGAGACTGAATCTCTGTCCACACTCTGAGCATTCAAAAGGCTTCTCCCCTGTGTGGGTTCTTAGATGTCTTTGAAGAGTGCTACTGTGACTGAATCTCTTCCCACATTCTGAACATTCAAAAGGCTTATCTCCTGTGTGGGTTCTTAGATGATTTTGAAGATGGCCGCTGCGACGGAATCTCTTCCTACACACTGAACATTCAAAAGGCTTATCCTCTGTGTGGGTTCTTAGATGATTTTTAAGAGTACTCCTGAGACTGAATCTCTGTCCACACTCTAAGCATTCAAAAGGTTTCTCCCCTGTGTGGGTTCTTAGATGTCCTTGAAGAGAGCTGTTCTCACTGAATCTCTTCCCACACTCTGAGCATTCAAAAGGTTTCTCCCCTGTGTGGGTTTTTAGATGTCTTCGAAGAGTGCAACCCTGACTGAACCTCTTCGCACACACTGAACACTCAAAAGGCTTCTCCCCGGTGTGGGTTCTTCGATGTTTTTGAAGACCACTAGGGCCACTGAATCTCTTCCCACACTCTGAGCATAGAAAAGGTTTCTCCCTTGTATGGGTCCTTAGATGTTCTTCAAGACTGCTACTGTCACTGTATCTCTTCCCACACTCTGAGCATTCAAAATGTTTCACCCCTGCGTGAGTTCTTGAATGGTTTTGAAGAGTGCTACTGTCACTGAATCTCTTCCCACACTCTGAGCATTCAAAAGGTTTCTCCCCTGTGTGGTTTCTTAGATGTTTTTGAAGAGTGCTACTATGACTGAATCTCTTCCCACACTCTAAGCATTCAAAAGGCTTCTCCCCTGTATGGGTTCTTAGATGTTTTTGAAGAGTGCCATGCTCACTGAATCTCTTTCCACACTCAGAGCATTCAAAAGGTTTCTCCCCTGTGTGGGTTCTTAAATGACTTTGAAGATTGCCACTGTGACTGAATCTCTTCCGACACTCTGAGCATTCAAACGGCTTCTCCCCTGTGTGGGTTCTTAGATGTCTTTGAAGAGTGCTACTGTGACTGAATCTCCTCCCACACTCTAAGCATTTGAAAGCTTTCTCCCCTGTATGGGTTCTTAGATGTTTTTGAAGAGTGCTACACTCACTGAATCTCTTTCCACACTCTGAACATTCAAAAGGTTTCTCCCCTGTGTGGGTTCTTAAATGACTTTGAAGATTGCCACTGTGACTGAATCTCTTCCGACACTCTAAGCATTCAAACGGCTTCTCCCCTGTGTGGCTTCTTAGATGTCTTTGAAGATTGCCATTGAGACTGAATCTCTTTCCACACTCTGAGCATTCAAAAGGTTTCTCCCCTGTGTGGGTTCTTAGATGATTGTGAAGATGGCTACTCTGACTGAATCTCTTCCCACACTCTGAGCATTGGAAAGGCTTCTCCCCTGTGTGAGTTCTTAGATGCTTTTGAAGAGCGCTACTGTGACTGAATCTCTTTACACACTGTGAGCATTCAAAAGGCTTCCCTCCTCTGTGGATTCTTTGGTGCACAAGGAGCTGTGATCTGTATTTGAAATAGTTTCCACACCAAAAGCATTTACATGCATTCATTACACTCTCTTTTGGAAAATACATATTACCCTTGCCTCTCACAGAGAACAACTTTCCAGGCTTTGAGCAAATAAATACCTTCCCTCCTGAATGAATCCTTTCGTGTCGAACAAGGTCTGATTTCTCTGAGAATCTCTTGCCACAGTCTGAGCAGCTATAAGGTTTCTCTCCTCTATGTGATCTTTGAAATCTAAGGAGCTCTGTTCTGCGAATCACGGTCTTTCCACACTCCAGCCAGTGACGGGTCTTCTTTCCACTGTGCATTCGTACATGGACATTATATTGGGATTGATCTGAGAAGTTCATTCTACACGCCAAGCAGTTCTTTGTTTTCTTCACCATGTGAATTCCTTCTTGGAAATCCCCTCCTTGGCAAGGAATGGGTTTACCCCTCTTCTGGAGGTTGTGGCTTCTTTTCTGCCTCTTAGGTCCAACTTGATTTCTGGAGTTCTCTCTCAGGTCTTCGTTCTTGACTTCATCTGGGGACAGAGAATGCAGTTCCTCATCCTCCTCATTCCTCTGATCATCCCCCACTGGAATAAAGAAAGAGATCCTGTTAGAACCCATGCAAGGAGGTCTGATCTGCACCTGAATTTCCACCCGCAATCCAAATATTACAGTGGCTTCTTCCCACTTTATGGTGAAGTGTACAGTAACATACACTTTAAAAGTACATGAAGCCTCCTGCATGAGAGATGCTTGGTTTGGACTCTGTTTATATTGTTCCCCAACTGTGTGACTTTTTTGATGAGAAGCAAGGGCTCTTTTCTCACTGAAGCTCTTTCCGCACTGCAAGCAATACACAGTTTCTCTTCTAAGGGAATTTGTGTCTGCAAAATGATGTTTGTTCTCTGTCTGAAGGTCTTTGCAAAGGCCACACTTTCCATTTCACTGCAGTGGATTCTCTGGTTAGTATGGAGGCCTCTGTCCCTTCTCTTTTTGATTGATCTTTCTTCTTGGACTGGGATTTCATGGAAACCCCCTCCTCAGTAAGGAATGGGTTTATCCCTCCTCTTACCTGCTTGGTTTTCCTCCGGCCTCTGGGGTCCATCCCCATCTCCGAAGTGTCCTTCGGCATCTTCATTCTTGACTTTTCCCAAAGAGAACCCCTGGAATTCTCCAGCTGTCTCCTCTGCATCTGCTCCTGGAAGAAAGAAAGAGTCCAGCTGTCTCTTCTACATCCGCTGCTGGAATAAAGTAAGAGTGTCAATCAGCACCCATGCAAGAAGCCAAGGCACCCGTCAGGCAGTGCTCAGGAATGGGTGTGCATTTCTGTTATCTGATCATCTTTCCTCCCAAAGTGAGACACTGATCACACCTTATCCCTGCCAGGCTTTCCTGTAGAGCTGTTTTTATATTCTGTCTATCTCTCCCCTCTCCAGATTCCCCATATGTATTTTAAGGGGGAAAGTGGCAAGATATTGTTCCCCCACTGTTCCCATTTGACTTACTGTGCTTTTTGACTTGATTCTCTACACTCAACAATTAAATACAAGAGGTTATCAAGTTATCCAGTCTTGGAACTGCACTGAGAGCTTTCTTCCAGTTATCAACAGAGCCAGGAGGAGCTGGTTTTCAGCCTCCCCAAAGTGCATATTTTCCAGGTGAAGGAGAGAAGCCAAGAGCTCCCCAAGTAAACCCCACAGTTCAAAAGCCCCCCCCCATGGTTTTTGGAAAAGGTGCCGTTTGTTGGGGGGTGAGGTAATGACTGATGAGAAAACCAGTCTTGCAGTGTAGGGGCACCTTTCTCAAGGTCAAAGCCATTTTTAAACACTTTATGAGAAGTTCTCTGCACCTTAGCTGGGCCTCTGTAGCCACATCGGAATCACCCAGGCAGTTCTGTCTTTCCTAGAAGCACAGAGTCAGCCAGCCTCTCCCAAAAGAAGCATATTTTATTGTAAGCAAAGATGACCAGAAGACTGGTTATTAGACCTCCAGGTCATCAACTTGTTACAGTAGAGTAAGGTCCTCGGGAAGCCCATCCCAGAGGAACACGCAGTGTCAAAAAGTCCAGATAAGATCCCAGAAGAGTCTGTCCTCCTGTTCCATCCTCCCAAAGCACCTGAAGGATGCAGTGATCACACAGCAAGCATGCAGTTAATCCAGGTGTTCAGCATGACCAGGGGGATGACATCTAAACATGGTGAAGTTAGTCTGGCATATCCTTAAGAGCAGCAGAGGGTTCTCATTGCTGTCAGCCCTCTTCCCTGGGGACAGGGGGAGATGGTGTTGGCCGGCCTTGGAGGAACTCGGACATCGGGGCACGTTGAATGGACAGGTGTTCCTGGCTTTTCTCTGTGTGTTTGTGCTTTTCTTTGGCAGGTGGTTTCCTGCCTCAAGGGGCTGGAAAGGACTTAGCCCTTGGGAAGGGACTTGGTCGCTTGCCTCATGGGGAGACAGGAGGGTGACTACAGTGCTTTCTCTATCCTATTGTGGCTCAAACAAACTGTGCTTCAACTGAGAACTTGACTCTGTCTTTACCGGGCTGACAGTGGGAATCTCTTCAATACCACACAATCCCGCTCTCTTGGGGTGAGGACTGATTCCCGCTACCAGAACAGAGAGTGCTGTGTGATTTGGTGTAAGCCAGTTGCCCTTAGGAGGCAGTGTTAACTGGTGGTACTACTCTCTGCAGGCCACCTCTGAAAAGTAGAACAGCTCCAAAGAAAGCACTCAAACCCCAACCTCCTTGAGGCCCCCAACTGGGGGGTGGGGAGTAGCCAGGCAGTCCTCACAACCACATGCTGCTTTTCAATGTTTTGATTCATGCATCATCCCAATGTCAGGAATTTGCTCTATTGGCACCTGTGAAAGGTTCTTACCCAGAGAGGCCACGCTCCTGTAGTTCTCCAGCATGACGTCCCTGTAGAGAGCTTTTTGGCCAGGAGCCAGCAAGGCCCACTCGGCCACAGTGAAATACACGGCCACCTCCTCAAAGGAAAAGGGAGGCTGAAAGGAGAAGCAGATCCTCTCGTCAGAGATCAGTCCCAGCAGAGACTACACTCTCCACAGGGGCATTCTGGGAGGGTGCGGGATGTAGAGTTTGGCATGCATCAAGAGAGTGGGGCTCAGAGCCTGTCTCTCCTCAGTCAGCAGTACCAAAAGCCTCCTCGAGAAAGGAGGGGGGACCTGACTATCCCCCAATCTTCCCCCCCTACCTGGACCAGAGGTGGAGCAGCTGTTTCCACTCCTCTGAAGAGATGACAGGTTGACAACATCTCTTCACTGCCTGCAAGAGAGACAAAATTGGAAGGAAGAGTGTTAACCTCAAGTTCCTATTTTGTTTGCTTCTTTGAATTCTGCTTCACCCATCCCTGTTCCCAAGGCTATGAAACCGTTTCTTCTTTACACTCAAGAAAATTTGTAAAGACTTTTAGTGAGGTATCAGAGAGGTGGAAGAGAAGCAGCAGGTAACCATGAGCCTCAGCATAAATGCTGCCAACCCTTCTGTGAGACTTGAAAAGTGCCCTGTGCACCCTGGAGCTCCAAAGGCTGCAGCACCCCAGCTGGAACAGACGAAAAGCCCAGGCCTGCCATTCTCCTGCCTGCTGGGGCCTCCCACCCATCCTGGAGTCTGGACTGGCAGGAGAAAAAGAGAGGACCGGAAATCATCTTGCATGACACATCGCTATCACAACCAGCCCAAAACCCAGATTCTTTTTTTAGTGCATCAGCCAAGCCTCTGGAAACTTTAGGGTACCACCAATGGGTTTCCAGGATGCCTCCTGATGCTCTGACTTCACATCCAGGTATTCGGTGACATGAGACATCGACATGACATCAGAACCAACCCAAGCTCCACCCTCCAACCTCATGGGGGTACCCGGCCATGGCCTGGCATCTCTAGTCCAGTATCCTCTCTCTCACTGTGGCCTGCCAGATGCCCCAGGAAAGAAAGCCTTTAAGCAGGGGCACAGAACTCAAACTGTTGCTCCTGGCAATGCGGTTTCAGAGGTCTGCTGACCCAGAACATGGGGGGGGGATGTTTGTAAAGTGCTGTGAAGTCACAGCTGACTTATGGTGAAGCCACAACTTATTCAAGGCAAGAGACCTTCAGAGGTGGTCTGCCATTGCCTGCCTCTGCATAGCTACCCTGGACTTCTTCGGTGGTCTCCGGTGTCAGAACAAACCAGAGCTGACCCTGCTTAGAGTCTGAGATCCGAGGAGACTGGGCGAGCCTCGGCCATCCAGGTCTGAGGAATGTGGACATTCCATTTATTCACTATGGCTAATGGCTGCTCCCAGATTTCTCTTCCTTTCCTTTCCTGAGCCACCTTGAGACCCTCTAATGGAAGGAAGGGGGGAGAGACACATTTTAATTAATGTAAATAAGAATGGAATTACCCTCTATGAATCTGTCTACCCCTCTTTCAAGTGGCGTGGTCATCACCATATCCTATGGAACGCTGTCCAAGAACTCCATTCTCTGTAGTCTGCAAAAGCATTCCCCTTTTCTCCTGTCCTGAACCTTCTGCCCAACAACTTGAC